CTCCACAACTAAGATTGAAGAACGACAACTTAGCTGTTCCCCTTCCCCAATTCCCCAATAAAATCTTTAAAAAAAAATTAATTAAAAAATTTAAAAACAGTAAAAATTACACTCAAATATATATATATATATATATATATATATATATATATATATATATATATATCCCCAGAAACAAATCCATAGTCATTTAATGTAGAAAGGAAGCAAAGAAAGGAAACAAGGGAAGCAAGAATTTACCAAGGGGTAAAAATAGTCTATTTAATAAATGGTGCTGGGGAAATTGGACAGATATTACAAAAAACATGAAACTGAACCACCTTCTAATGCCATATACAAGAATAAACTAAAAATGGATTAAAGACTTAAATGTAAGACCCCAAACCATACAACTCCCAGAATAAAATATAGAAAGTAAACTTGTAGACATTACCCTCAGTAAGGTTTTTACCGATATATCCCCTCAGGCAAGGGAAGCAAAAGAAAAAATAAACAAATGGGACTACATCAAACTAAAAAGATTTCTCACAGCAAAGGAAGCCATCAACAAAACAAAAAGACATCCTACTGAATGAGAGAAGGTATTTGTCAGTGATACATCTGATAAGGGGTTAATATCCAAAATTTATTTAAAAACTCATACAACTCAACACCAAAAAAAACCAAACAACCCAATTAAAAAATAGGCAGAAGACATGAAGCAACATCTCTCTAAAGAGGACATACAGATAGCCAACAGACATATGAAAAAAAGCTCAACATCACTAATCATTAGAGAAATGAAAATAAAAAACACGCGATACCACCTCACTCTGGACAGAATGGCTATCATCAATAAATAAACAAACAACAAGTGTTGGCGAAGTTGTGGCGAAAAGAGAAACCTTGTGCACTGTTGGTGGGATTGCAAATTGGTGCAGCTACTATGGAAAACAGTATGGAGGTTCCTCAAAAAATTAAAACTAGAACTACCTTATGATCCAGCAATTCCACTCCTGGGTATCTATCCAAAAAATCCAAAACACTAATTTGAAAAAAATATACGCACCCCTATGTTTATTGCAGTGCTATTCACAATACCCAAGATATGAAAACCAAAATGCCCATCAACAGACGATTGGATAAAGAAACTGTGGTATATTTATACAATGGAGTATTACTCTGCCATAAAAAAGAATGGAACCTTACCATTTGCAACAACATGGATGGACCTAGAAAATATTATGCTAAGTAAAATAAGTCAGACTGAGAAAGACAAATACCACATGATCTCACTTATATGTTGAATCTAAAGAACTGAATAAATGAGCATTGTAAACAGAAATTGTCTCAGAGATATAGAGAAAAAACTGATGGTTGCTAGATGGAGGAGTGTTGGGGGATGGGGAGACGGTGAAGGGATTAGAAGGCACACATTGGTAGTCACAAAATAGTCACGAGGATGTGAAATACAGTATGGAGAATATAATCAATAATGTTGTAAAGATTATGTAGGGTGTCAGATGGGTACTAGACTTGTCAGGGGGATCATTTCATAGATTGTGCAGATGCCTGTCCACTGTGCTATACACCTGAAGCTGAAGTGGAATAATACTGAATGTCAACTATAATTAAATATGTATATATCTGTATATATATGGTCACGGAATGTAAAGTACAGCATTGGGAATAGAGTCAATGGTATTGTAACAGCTATATATGGTATCAGAGGGGTAGTAGACTTGGGGGAGGGTTATCACTTTTTGAGGGGTGTAAATATGTAATCATTATGTAGTTTTGTACACCTGAAACTAATATAAAAAAACACAATTAAAAAAAGACCTTACACAAAAAATAATTTTTTAATGAAAAAAAAAATACATATCCCCAGAATTGCCATGACTTATGTTTGGAAATTTTTAAGATAAAATGACCTACCTTGCTACATTATAGAGTATGTTAAAATATAATTTAACCTTCTACTGTTTCAAGCATTAATTCAATTCAATAGTTATTGAATACTGTCATGTGCTGAGAAATGTGTAAGGTGTTAGAGATGCAAATATGAATAAAACATGTATTTTCTCCTCAGGGAACTGAGAATAGAAGAAAGAATAACATGCAAACAATTTACATGAATTACAATTCAAACTGTGCATGTTCCAGAGACATAGGGGAACTGGAGGAAGTCTTCTTCCTTTAAGGAGAAGGGTAAGAACAGATAAGGAAGGATAAGAAATGGCAGGAATTTTATCAGTTTAGGGAATAAAGTTTACAACTAGAGCCTCTGATTTTATGAACAAAATCAGAGACAAAGTCATCTATTGAGAATGAGTGGGTGTGGGATAATACGGGAACTTTAAAGATAGTAACGAAGTTTTGGAACTGCTATTGTGGAAAATTTTAGGAAATGTTGCTAACCAAAGGCAAGTAATGAATAGGATTTGAGCTCAGGTGAGACCAGAAATTGTGTGTACTTGCACTAATGTAGACTTTGATGCAACATGCTCCAGCAGCAACAGGCTACTAATAATAATAATGCATAGCAATTAAACAGATAGACCTAATGACCAACCAGGGCTGGGGATGTAGATCCCCACACAGTTAAAGGTAAGAGGGCAAGGGCCTTAAAGTTTTTGCAACCCCCAGTGAAATAATGGGCCTTGGCAAGGTTCATCAAGTTGGCTAACATCACAAAATGTCAGGCAACAGACTTTACTTGCCTCCTAATGAAAGCCCTCAGCATGAAGTATTCCTGCCAAAAAATTTAATTGAACCTGATCAAGCCTCCATACGTAATTACCAGTTTATAAGAACAGGAGAACAGGGAAGAGAGGAACATGATAAAGCACATCATGGAGCTATGACCAGCAAAATATAGATTGTGGGAAATCAACAGGACAAACAACTGTTTTTCCAACAAGCACGTTGCAATAAAGAAAAAAAGAGAGGGAGAAGTAACATATAAATAAAGAGATTTAATGGATATATCAGCCAATTGCAATGTATAGACTTGATTCAAAAGAACTCATAAAATGATGAAACAAGAGAAATGTGATTATTTCCTGGATGCTTGATGATTTTAAGAAGTTACTGTTGGGTCAGCTGAGTGGCACGTTGGTTAAGAGCTGGCTTGGGACGCCAGAGGGCCCCAGTTCGGATCCCACATATGAGGGCCAGTGACACTGCCCTCTACAGCTAAGA